GAGAGTTCAGATGATTTATATCCACTAATACTGAAATGAAAAAAGGCTAATCACTAAAACTTGCACCAATCACACAGTAGACTACATGTATGAACACTTTCCACTGCAAAAGAGTAGTAGAAAGTAAATATACATGTAGCTCTGTGCAAAGATTACACCAGTACTGTGCTAGGCTGAATTAGGAGGACTTTTATCTGACACAACATAATGTCTGGAACCAAGTGGTATTCATCTCTGTTATGCCTTAACTCAACTTTTTGTTGTTACCATTATGCTGTTGTTGTTGTATTATTGTAAATAATAAAATAATATAACTAAGGGGTCAGGCATTACATTCTTTCTAGCAATAATAATAATAATAATAATAATAATAATAATAATAAATTTATAATTTCTATAAAAATTTACTTTAGAACTAAGAACTACGTATAATTTTTCTTCCTATGATATTGATACTAAATCTGCAAACTTCTTCTTCAGAAGCACTCAAGGTGACATCAAACACATCAACATCTCCTGGAGTGCATTCAATAAGGACTTCATTTTTACTGACAACTGAACAATCAACAAACAATCCGCAATCATCATCATAATAACCATTATAGTTAGCGGAATAGTTAGAGGACCATATGAAGAAAGCTGCAAAGGGCTCTTTAAGCACATAATATATCTTTAGTATCTCATCAACAGAGCCATTAACTTTGTTTCTCTCAACATTTACTAACTGATCGTTGCTGTCCTTCAAAACCAATTTTCCCTCCAGATTAAGTTTGTTTGTCTCCTGGCTTGACAATGTTCCCAAGAGCTTGTTCCTTAAAACTGATTTATTAAACAATGTGTGAGACAACAGTAATTCATTTAAGTAATCTAATTTGATTTTTGCAGCTTCAGACTTTTCAAGATTCTTTATGAGTTGGTTTGTTAATGATAAGAGGTGTCCTTGCTTTTGATATCGCAAACTAAACGACCTGCATTTTTTCAATTGCAATGACAATATCTCAATGTCATTCTTAGCACTCCAGATCTTTTTACTGTGCTTGGTAAAAATATCATCAACTTCAGACAACAATTGCTCCTTCCTTTCCTGTAATGCTGCAATCCATTCATCACAAGCATTGGTGATTCTTGATTCCACTTCAGACTGTCTCTCGCGCATAACAGCTTCAAGTTCCTCAATGCAATCAAGCTTTATCTGTAGATCTTTTTCTTTTGTTTCAAGATTCTTAGTACTTTCCTGAATCTTGGTCATCAACTTGTTGCCTGCATCTTTAATCAAGCTATAACTATGAGTGTGGTTAAAAATTCTCCGATTTTCAAGCGTGCACACCAAACATGCAATAGCGTAACAGGAACTGCAATATGCCTCTAGCTTATGATCAGTGTGCTTGTCACAATAAGAGTGCTGATCTCTAGTGGAGGAGGGGAAACCTGGAGCATCCTCCAGTGATACTAAAGTGTGTGATATAAATGCTTTGTTTCTTTTATGACAAGTATTGCGACACCATTCACACAAGAACTCACCACAATCAGTACAATAACCAACAGCAACATCACCAGAAGTACAAGAGCCACATATCTTCTTCTCTTCTTTTGCTTCTCCTAGCTCAGGTAACAGTGAAAGATCAACTGGATACATTGATACACCATCCTTTGGTATACTGTGTCCATCACGACACTGAGGGCAAGTGAGCCTGTCATTCTTGACAAGTGGCTCAAGACAATGAAGACAGAAGGTATGAAGACAAGGTAAGACACGTGGATCAGTATATAACTCAAGACAAACAGAACACTTAAGGGAGAGGGAGACATCAGTTAAACAAGTAGCCATTTTGTTGTTTTTTATGAAAATAAACATACAATATTCATTAACATTATGAATATTACAATGCTTATGTATTCTATTAAAAATTGAGCCACAGCAAAACTATACCATTACTAATTGGACACATTGTATATCATTAGTAAACATTTATTATTATACATGTAAAATAGCTTTGGCTTTGAATTTGGTATTAAATAATACCGTTAAAGAAAAATTAGAATACCGTATAACCGGAAATTTTCGTTGCCAGAAACTTTTGTTGTCTTTCCAAGAAGGCTTTACAAGATATTTTCGTTGATTTTATTTTCATTTTGCCTAATATAAATTTTCACTGCCACGCCCATTTAATTAGTACCACGTGTATGGTTTAAGATGGAAGAATGTCTATGGTTCCATATGGTTCACTGTGGTTACCACATTTATGAAGACATTTGGAGCCCATCAGTTGGAGAAGAACTGCCTTTTGTGTCAATTCTGATAATGAAACAGATTGCTAAGCCGTGGCTATAGTGAAAGAGGATCTGTCATGGGTCAATTTTAGTTTGATTAAATTTTCATTGTCTTAAAATTTCGTTCAAATTTTTGGGCCAACGAAACAAACAAAAATTAGCACCCAACAAAAATTTCCTGCTATACGGTACATGTAAACTTGAGCAGCTAACAAAATACAGTATAACTGTCATGTAATACATTGATATGTATGTGTCTGTGATAATTGAAAAACAAAATTCATTAGTCATGAGAATCTTAACGTTAAAATTGCAAACTTTTTACCAAATAATTGCACAAGCATTGTAAGTTCACAGAAAATTGGTGTAAATGGAATGCATACAGAAAAGTCTTTCATACTTGTATTTATAGTAGGCATTAAAGCATAATTTTACAATAATACACTAAAAAATAAGAAAGAATTCTAGCAGCTTACAAAAAAGAATATGAAGTATATATAATTATTAAATTACAAAAGTTTATTATCGTAGTATAGTATAATTTTAAACCATTACATTGTTTTAGCAAAAATACACAAATTAACTTCTAATTATTCACAGTATAGAGGCTAAAACTGCAAACTCTTTCACCAGATGCCTTCAAAGTGAAATAATATTTTTTGCTTGTTGTAGGAGTACAGTCAATAATAAGTTCATTATCACTAAAAGGTGTACAATGAATAACCAACGGAGAAGGGGAACAATAGCTTCGCATGGGCATAGCCTTTTTAGACAGACGACGCCTTCCAAAGGTGTTCTTGTTTGGCCGCATGATACCAGGGGAACAATGCCTGTCCTCAACAGTACATTTCCAGGAATAAACTCTTGCAAACGGCTCCACAAGTTTATAGGACACTTTGACTTGAGTATTTACTTTACACTGAAATGCATTTGCATCAGTGTGCATTGTTTGGCCCCCCTCTTTTAAAATTAGTTCACTTTTATGGAAATTTTTTGAACGCTCGACAGCTTTCCCAAGGATAGTTCATTAAATTCTGTTGACTTATTAAATACTTTTTGAACAGAAGCTAAATCTTCTAAGCAACTAAAATTGATTTTTGTAGCCTCAGTCTTGTCAAGGTTCTTCAAGAGTTGGTTGGTTAGTGATAAGAGGTGTCCTTGCTTTTGATACCTTAAACTAAATGACCTGCAACTCTCCAATTGCAACAACAATGTCTCAATGTCATTCTTAGTACTCCAAATCTTCTTGTTACCTTGCGTAAAAGTAGCATCAATTTCAGATAACAATTGATTCTTCTTTTTCTCCAATATTGAAATGCAGTGATCATAAGACTTATTAATTTCGGACTCTAACTGGGAGTGTCTACTATCCACTGTTCTTTCGAGTGTCTCCACAAAAATAAGATTCCTCTTTAATTCTTCCTTTTTTGTCTCAAGACTTTTGGTACTTCTTTTAATCTTAGCCATCAACTCCTCACTCACATTTTTAATCAAGTCATATTTATGTTGTTTGTGTGTTGACTCAAGCATACACATTGAGCACACAACAGCAGAACAAGGCCTGCAAAACACTTCTAGCTTATGATCAGTGTGCTTGTCACAATAAGAGTGCTGATCTCTAGTGGAGGAGGGGAAACCTGGAGCATCCTCCAGTGATACTAAAGTGTGTGATAGGAACACTTTGTTTCTTTTATGAGAAGCATCACGACACCATTCACACAAGAACTCACCACAATCAGTACAATAACCAACAGCAACATCACCAGAAGTACAAGAACCACATATCTTCTTCTCTTCTTTTGCTTCTCCTAGCTC